CTGAACTTCTGTATTATAAAATAGCACATAAATATGCTAAAAACTTAGTGTATTGCCTGCCTTTCTCCATGTCTCACTGCAGTGCTGAACAGGCACCGGATCCAGAATCAAGGAATCTCTAAAATTCTCTAAAAAATGAGTCAGTTTTTAAGGCACCAGCGACAAGATCCAGCCCCTTCTAGAGAAAGAGAAGTCTGAGACACTTGGAAAAGCTACATCCATTCCCTGATGCCAGAGTCAGGCCCAGCCACACAGGGATTTTCTGTAGGAGTGATTCATGAATCAGTGAATGAGGCATTTGTGAAGTTTGAAGCAGTTGCAAAAATAAAAGGAACTGGAGTACAGGTGCCTAAGGATGGAGATAGTTTAAAACTGGGGTTGTGTCCTTAGGTATGGGGTGAATTTTCTAGTTCCAGCAGTCATGACTGGAGCTTCCCTGATACCTATTTGACTCTGAGATGATAAACCAAAAGCTTCCTGAGCTTCTCCCTGCCATCCCTGCCAGCAGGTAGAAATGTATTTCCCAACTCAGTAAACCCCCACTGTCAGGAAACAAAGTAGTTTTTAAACTTTAACGAGCAGAGTAATGGAAATGAAATGCAAAGGAAATGAGAAAAAAAAAAAAAAGAGTAGAATGTCTTTTTATTTTGGTATTCTACAGCAAAAAGTGTGTGCACTAAATAATAAATAAGCCATGCAATGTTTTTACAGTTTCTTTCATATGCGTGAATATTTAAAACATGCAAAATGTGGAATAGGCATTTACTGGGGACAAAAGCAGAGAACTGATTTTATGTACAGAGAGCAAGATGGGAAAACCAGAGAAATGCATGTTTAATGGCTTGCTGCTCACAGAAGGGAGATATTTCCAAGTGTGAACATATTTGTAGACAAACTAATCTGACAAGTCTGCTGGGGGATGATGGATTACAGCAGAATTGGCCTGGGAAGCAGAATTTTGTCGTGTGGGTGCTCGTGGTGTAAACAGTGCCTGGGGCTGGCAGCAGGGCTGGGAGTCGGGGCTGGGGTGGTACCTGAGAGCTCCTGGGTTTGCTCAGAGGATCCATGGCTGCTTTTCATCCCTTTGCTGGATTTATCTGTGTTACTCATGTTTATGAGTTTGGTGATCCAGGAGGAGACTGAGGGGGACCTCAGGGTCTGCAGCTCCTCCTGAGGGACAGCTCCGATCTCTGCTCTGGGACAGGACCCTAGGAACAGCTGGAGCTGTGCCAGGGCAGGTTTAGGTTGGATTTTGGGAAAGGTTCTTTTCCTAGAGGGTGCTGGGCACTGCCCAGGCTCCCCAGGGAATGGGCACAGCCCCAAGAGCTCCAGGAGCTGTCAGGGATGCCCAGGGTGGGATTTTGGGGTCTGTGAAGGGCCAGGAGCTGGATCAATGACCCTGAGGGGCCCCTCCAGCTCAGGACATTCTGTGATTCTAAATTTGAAGCTGGTAGCTCTGACCCCTTAAACTGGTGTTTGAAGAGAGGCTGGGAGAGCTGGTGAGAGGCCTGGTGCAGTGCCAGGCTTTCTGCCTGCTCAGGGCCATAAAATCAGAGTATCCCCTCCAAGATAACAGGAATGACCACAAAGTCCTGTGTGAGGAGCAGAGCCCTGTCCCCAGCCCCAGAGTCCCGAGGCAGGGGAGTGCAAAGGGAGCCCTGCAGGGTCTCCTGGGGCTCTGTGAGCTCTGGGTACAACTTCTGGGTTCTGGAGCCTCTTGCCCCTGCCTGAGAGTCCCCATCCCTGGCAGTGTCCCAGACCAGGCTGACCGGGGCTTGGAGCAGCCCGGGACAGTGGGAGGTGTCCCTGCCCGTGGCAGGGGGTGGCACAGGATGATCTTTAAGGTCCCTTCCAAGCCAAACCTTCTGGGATTCTGGGATGCCTGTGCTGACCTTCCCAGGAGGGAGGAGTGACAGGTTGGGGAAGTGAGTGTAGGTTTATCAGGGACCTTCTCCAGGGCCACTTGGCTCTTTCCTTTGTGCTGGGAAGTAGCTGAAACCAGAGAAGGAGCAGCCTGTTGCTCTGACTGGCAGGGGCTCCCTGCTCACTGGCTTATGGTTTAATGCATTTTTTTTTTTTTCCTCCTGACTTTTGATTTCTTTCTGCCAACTTTATATTTTAATGCATGTTTTTATGGAAATATTTATGGTGCACATGTTGCATATAAAACACCATCATAAAGCTTTTTTGCTTCAGTCCTGTTGAAATAAATGATGTTATTATTATAATAATTTCATAGACTTATATCTGTTCTGTAATGAAAAAGACCTGTGGCTGCTTCAGCCATCAAACCAGGCAGTTTTTATAGCTTTCTGTAGCTGCAGTGACCTCATGGAGCTGCTGAAGCTTTTAAAATTCTCCACTTCCCAGCAGAAGTGGGCACACAAAGGAGAAGGAGCAAGTAGAAGCAGGAGGATTGACCACAAAATCAGGATGGGCTTCACGCTGCACACAATATTTGATGGGTTTTGTTATTGCATCACTGAAAACAGGGTTATCTCCTTCAGAAAGGAGGTGCCAGGGATGCTGTCCTGGACGGATATGCTCGTCTGATGGTGAGGGATGGACCTTGGGGCTTGTCAAGGACTTTGTCCTCCATTGAGCATTTGTCCAGCACTTAAATTACAGCTCTTGTCCACCTTCAGCTCAGCAGGCTTTGGGTTTCTCAACAAGGACAGACCCAAACTCAGGTTGCAAGGGAACCAGAGGAAGAAAAAAACATCATTAAATTCATGACCATCTGCTTGTATAAGTTTATCTGTGCGTGCCTGTGCGTGCACACTCACTGGCCTTAATGACAAATTTGGAAAGGGCTAAAGCAAACAACTGCAAGGTACTGTGGGTTTGAAGAAGATTTTAAAAATTAATACTCAAACATGAAAATGCTTTATACAAGAAAGGAACCTTTTAGTAACTTCTGCCTCCTAGGAAGAAAAAAGTATAATGAATAATTCAGCCATGCACCGAGGAAACTGATTTGCTGAACACGTGGAATAAATCTGGGGGTGAACTGGTCCAGATCACCTAAATTAAGAGTTTGGAGCAGGAATGATGAGAGTAAATCATGAGGGTCTCTCTAATATTGTTGTGAGTGGTATTCTTTGTTATCACTAATGTTATTTAGGATCATGGTGCTACAGGATCCTGAGGATGCTGCTAATTGTGCATCCTTTGGGAACTCACCAGAGGAAAGTTTTTAACATTTCCAGTAGTCTGTTTATTCAGGAGATGGGCCAGGAGGGAGCATCACTCATGGGCTGGCAGCTCTGAGGTGATGGGACATGGTCAGACAGGGAGGGTCCTACAGCAGGTTCACATCAACATCCAGTTAAAAAAATAAACAGCTAGTGAAAATCACCAGAACAGCCCCAGAATTCAGCAGCTTTTGGAACTCTGTGTCCATATTAGTCTAAAGAATTTTCAATAAGATTATTTAATCTTTGGAGAGAGCACAGTCAGGTGGCCCTGGAGAAGAGGCCAGTGTTCTTTTATTTCTGTCACAGCTCAGAGACAGAATTCGTCCCCCAGTGGCTGCTGCAGTCTTCCTCAAAGCCAGGTGTGAACTGCAGCCCCATGAAAAGTGGAGAAATTAAATCCTCTGCCAGGAGAGCTTTAGGACAGGGCCCAAATTTGTTCTCTTTGGAGAGAAATGCCTCAGTTATCCCAGAATAACCCCAAGACAGTTGAGCCGGTAGTGAGTCTCTGTTACACTGTGCAGATAATACTATGAATGAAATAAAATTTAATTAAATAAATTATTTCAGAATCAATCAGTGGCATTTTGGAAGCAGCTGCACCTGCAGAAACAGCTCCTTGTTAGATCTTCTAACCAGGAGTGGAGTTCAATGGCTGAGGCAAAAACTTGAAAGCAGGGAGGGCAGAAGGGTCTCTCCAGCAGGTCAGGGTCATCCTCGGACAGGATCAAAGGGCACTAGGTGGGGGAGTTTCATGGAGAACAAAGAGTAGGGCAGGAGATGGAGCCCTAGTTAAAGTGTTTAGGGGATGGGTGGACTGAAAACTATTTTAATTTGGTATGTGCCTCCACATAAAGTGTTTTATATGTTCACAGCATTGACCCCTGATTTACTCTCCAATTTTCATAAATGTCACACTCTGGGCATTTGTTCTTGCCTTCACTGTGCTTGGGTACAGGAACTGCCAGGAGTCAAATCCCCATTTTTAGGAGGAAATCAGTCCGTGTGCTCCTAACAATCCTCTGGAGTTTTCTCCCTCCTTTGAGTGATCTGAGCTGGGTGAAGCTACCTCAGGAAGGACCTTTTGTCCCTGCAAAAGCAGCTCCAGCTTGGCTTTTCTGGGATTTCTGTGCCTCTGTGGTGCCTGCTGAAGGCCCACACTCTATTCCATCACCTCCTTTTCCTGTGGAGCTCCTCATGGGTGGGGTGAGGGGGAATTTCCAGCAGAAAGCAGCAGTGTTTCCTCACTTGTCAATGAAACCCAGGCAAAAATTCATTTTCTGCCCTCAGAGCAACTTGGGCAAGGCTGTGTGGTCCATTTGGAAGGCCAATCCCATCTCTGAATCCTGTGAGGGCACAGACTGACCCCCTTTTCTGCCATGCCATTAAAGAGCTGGGTTTTGCGTAGTGCGCTTTGGAATGAGCCCCTTGTAGGAGCAGGCTCCATAAACTTTTTATAACCCGTATTTTATAAGGTAGAATGAGCTGGTCAAAAAGAGTTTTTTCATGTGTGTGTGCACATGAATCAGACTCACGCACAGGTCAGTCAGCCTGGCAAAGTCAGCTGGACCACAGGCCCAGTGGATGTGGAAATCTCATCCAAAGGTGTGGATGAGAGGAAGAACTCTTGAGAATGGCACAGCATTGCTTAGAGAGGCACCAGGAGTGTGCAAAACCACTCTGGGCAGGACTTGGAGCAACCTGGGCTAGTGGAAGTTGTCCCTGCCCACAGCAGGGGCTGGATTGAGTTGGTCTCTAAGGTCCTTTGTGACCCAAAAGATTCCATGGTTCTATGGAATGCCAGCACCTGGTCCTGCTGACAGCCTCAGGTGAACACCAGGTGAGGTAACCTTGAGCCAGGCTCTGTAAAACCCTGGCATTTCAAACAGCTTTAGAATCTGAATTTTAAGCAGTCACAGGTTCAGCTTCCCAGGCTGGGAACATCTCCATCCTCCTCAATCCAGAGGTGACCATAAGCCTGCTGTACCTCCAGGCACAAACCCTTCACCCACCACGGTGCACTTTGATGTGTGCTAAAGGTGTGAAAACACCTTCTGACTCCACAGAGAAGACTGGAAGAATTCCATAAAGTTGTTCCTGGTGCCACAACTGTGAGACAAGAGAGAATTTTCTCCCAATATTTGGCAGCTAAAAAAAAAAAAAAGAAAAAGCCCCCAAACATCACTCTGCAACAATAATTTAGACATGGGCAGGATTTGAGGAGTTGTAAGGAATATTACCTGCCATAAAGTTTGAATGGTGTTGAATTTACAAAAAATGCCTGATGTAAAATCATACTGTCAGGAACAATTAGCCATGGTGCATAAAAAACCTCTTACAGAGATTAAACTTCCCAGATTGTTTTACAGGAAAACTTTGTGTTAATGTTACGCTTTGAATGCCTTTTGCCATGAAACATTTAAGGAACAACAGTTTATAGGCTCTGATCTTTATGGTTTGGAAGAATGAACACTCTCCTCATGTTAGGCCAAATTAATGTTTTAAATTCAGGAGAAACCCCATCATGGCATAAAAAAGGAGAGAATGTCCTGAGAAGAAAGTGGTCAAATCATTCCAAGATGTTATGGGTTTAAGGGTTTTTTTCAGCTTTTTTTCCTACGGAAAAAATTTCATGGTCCTGGGCATATGGTCAAAAAACACAGAAGTGAGATATTTTTAGACAGGCACATTTGGGATAAAATTACCCACTATGGAGTGCTCAGGGACAACCTGGTGTGTCTGTGGCACTGGGGATGGCAGAGGAACGCCCCTCCTTGCATGGATGCTGCTCCAGCACTGAGGAGAGGGTGGAAGCCTTCTCCTGCTCCTGCATTATGTCAGGCACTGTCTCCCCTGTGTCAGGGTGCATTCCCACAGGCAGGCTCAGGGGAGAACCTCTGCTCATCCCAGCACTGAGCAGAGCAGAGTTTGCCCTGGCAAAATGGGCAGGACTGAGCACAAACACACCCTGACACAACCACAGCAGGGAAAGGGGCTGAGAAAGGGGTGTCCAGGCAGGTGAGGGACTTGCCTGTCCCCTCACACCAAGGAAAGCTGCAGGAGAAGCCCCACCAATGACTGACACTGCCAGGACATGGCTGGTGCATCCCCTGTGCTCCCAGCACCTCCTGTGCAGCGCTGGTCCTGCTCCATCTCTGGTCCTGCTCCATCTCTAGTCTTGCCCCAGGTCTAGTCCTACCCTGGATCTTCTCCTGCAGCTCAGACTGACTGCAGGGATTCAGGATCCAGCTTTCCCAGCCTGGCCTGCAGTTTTTATCCAGCCCTGTCAGCACCTGCAGCCAAGGCATCCTTGGCAGCTCTGGCTGGATTCTGTTTGGCCTCACGCATCATCACCAGCCTTGCCAGTTCATTCAGGCCCGGGGTGATGATGTGTGAGGCAGAAAAAGCCCAGCCTGGCCTTCAGGTGCTGGGCACAGTCAGCACAGGGGCAGGAGAATGCTCTTTCCATTGGTCCCTGGGAGCCAGTGTGACCTGGGAATTTTTGATGCTGGAACAGGTCCTGGGCTCAGCAGGTTGAAGGTGGAGATTTTTCTTTGGTTTTCTTCTCTTTAAGGGGTGCCTTGATGGGCACATGAGTATTTTTAGGAGTGGACTGGCATCACACTAATGAATACATCCCGAGCTGGACTGTTGCATGTGGGATTTTTGGTTCCCACCCCCCATATTAGGAGATGCAGTTCCAAAATAACTGCAACTGCCCATAGCCCTGCAAATAACCCACTGGAAACTGCAAAGCAGGAAGCAGAGCCAGGCAGGAGCATCCAGAATGCTCAAAAGTAATTTTCATTTCCATACATTTTCTGGCAGGAAAGGAAAAGCAAACCATGGAAGGTCCTGGAATATGCGCAGGTAAACACTGAGTTTGCAGAATTTCACATGTCTGGAATCATGTGCTGTTTGCTTAAACTGGCATGGGAAAAGGTTTTTTAGGATAGTGACCAAACTACCTCAGGCTTTAGTTTTGGAGATGACTGAGCTGGATTTTGGTCCCTAAATATTTCCTTGGGTTGATGGCAGGCATCACGTGGAATCACAATCCAACACATCCTCAGAGTGTGATGAGCAGAATGAATAAAACCAGGGAGATCCCCCTGGGAATCCAGGCATTTCCCTGTCTGCAGGTTCAGGTTTGCACCAGCAGGGAGAAAAGGCTGGGAAGGAAGGTGTGGATCCATGAGGAGGGCGAAAGTTTAGGGAGAATTCTCATTTCTTCTCATTTCACGTGGGGTTTGGAGGGACTCATACTGCTCAGGAATGCCAGGACCGGATCCAGAGCTGATGGATACCAACAATTTCCAGCACCTTCAGGGAAAGCTGGAATTTTTTTATTGATCCTGATGGTGTGGGATGAGCTGCAGAGCTGTACACCTGGAAAATCAACCCTGAGCCTGCCTGGAAGTGCTCCTGTTTGCTCCTTTTTCATGAGTTTATTTATAGAACCTCAAAAAACTCATCCTAAAAGGCTCCACCAGACAGGTGGGCTGCTCTGGAAGCCAAAGCACCTCAGCTGTCCTTGTGTGTTGGGCACTGTGCCTTTAAGGTGGGATTGCTCCAGAGGAAAACAGGAGTGCTCCTTTCAGCTTCAGATGATGTGATAATTGGTCAGGCCTCAGAAGCCACAGTGCTTCCTTATTCCTGCAGCTTTGATCTAAAAAGCTGTTTATTTATGTTTTATGGAACTACAAAACCTCCAGTAAACATGCCTTGTGCTTTCTTTATGTTCTACATGAATTCTGTCATGAAAACGTCAGGGAGAAATAATGAAGATCTTTATTGTGCTGCTGCTGCTGCTGGTGGTGGTGTCTTCCTTTGGAAGTTGGGATGCTTTGTGTGGGATTCACGAGGGCTGCAGATGTTCTGCCTGCCGAGCAGCTGGGGGAGAAGGAGGCTTTTCCTTGTGGAATCCCAGTGGATCCAGCACCAAGGGCTCTGTGAGAAAAAAGGACTTGATATTTCCCTTTATCTTTCATATCTGGGGGTGTTGATTACAGTGGTGAGATTTGCCTCCTGTGCCTGGCTGCTGGTGAGACCTCCGTGATAAAGGGTTTGATCCTGGTTTGCAACATCTGCCAGCAGACACAAAAACCCCTGGGAAAACCTGCTCAAAACCTGGAGCTCAGGTTCACCCTGAACTCCTGGGATGTTTTAGAGCATCAATAATATCCCAAATTACACAGTAGTGCTTCCCTCCACTTATATAAAATCCCACATACCATAACAGAGAATTATCAGTGTTGTTTAAACAGAGATGAGAAATAAATTTGTAAATTCAGATTGTGCCAAATTACTCCTCACTGCTGGGATCTTGTTGGTTTCTTCCTTCCTGGTGTATCCAGGCCTTTCCTCTGCGATTTGAAGAGCTCCCTTGGCTCCCTTAACTGCTGCCCCTCTAAGGAGAGATGTTTTGGGGGGTTTGCTCTGTGTCCAGTGGTTCCTGTGGAGAGTTCTCCTTTTCTGGAGCTGCTTGGGCTGGGAATTGTGGTTTTTGCTGCCTGAGCCCTGTGCACAGGGAGATTTGAGAAGGTGGAAAAGTGAGAGGGAACATTTTAGGTGTTCTTCCCAAGCCTCTGACCCAGCTCCTGCAAGAAGAAACTCTGAATATGAAAGAATTCTACTGGAAATTGGGCACTTCTGGGGCTCCTCTCCAGGAGCAGGCAGCAGCTAAACCCTCCTGTCAAAGGGATGTGTATTCCCACAAGGGTTTGGGTCCAAAAAAGCACCCCAAATGGTTTTAGAATTATTTTGTTGTGTTCATCAAATCCCTTTTTATGAATTCATGGGGTCATGGTAGAGATGTAAGAGCTGGAACACAGGCTCAGAGTAGGAGTTTTAGAAAATGAGGTGGGTGAAAAGAGAGATTCTCCATTTTGGGCTTTTGTTTGGGGACAAAACAGCTGTCAGAGTGGCCAAGAAGGGCAGAGAGTTATTTTTCTAACACCCTTCCTGAGCACCTTTGTTTATTATGGTGATTTATTTATTTCTTTTCAGACGTAAAGGACTTACCTTTTTCCACCCAGAAGAGCAGAGAGCTATCAGGAGGGCTGGTACCCCTGGCAGTCAAATAGCTCAGTCTGGCTAGGTGAGAGGAGCAGGGAGGGATTTAAACTGGGGGTCAGCAGTGAAAACAGGTGAGAATCTGGGCTAATTCACCCCCAAATCATCGTGGGTCAGCATTTCAGTAGTGTCTGTGCTGTCAGGCAGGCTTTGGTTGGTTCTTCCTCTACCAAATGTGCTCCTCATGCTTCTCTGAGTGCCACAAGTCCTTTTTGGGGTGCTGGAGGAGGGGTAGCTTGGGGCTGGGAGAGTTGCCTTGCTCTCCATTGGAAGGGAGAGCCAAGGAATAATCCCATTTTCCAGCCATCCTCATACCAACAGAGTTTGTGTGTCGTGTCTGACCTCCTGTAACAAGGTTAAACCACAGGGATCCCCTGGAGAAGTTGCCATTCATCTTTTATATGTGAAGATTTTCGAGTATAGAGAGGGGATAAACCTAATACGGTGTTTAATGGAAAAAAATTATGACACCAATAACACATCTGTGTCTGTAATTTCACAGGTTTTCTCTCTGTATATTTATATATGTATATATGTATAATTTAATATCAGCCTCAGGGTTGTGGTCTCACATGTCATCAGCTTGCAGGAAACTGGATCCTTGGCCTAAGTATCAGATGAGTTGCTAATGTTTGGAAAAAAAGCAAAAAACATGCTTTAGGTCTCTGTTTTATGGCTGTTATTGAAGTAAGAATTTGTGATTGTAACCCGAGCACTCGCCTGGCCAACATGTTTTCATTATTGTCTGGATAATTGAAAGTCCAGGCAAATTTAGATGCTGGGAGACACTGCACAAGAAGGTCTTGGAGCTCACAAGTGTTGAGGTGTCTCAAATTAAGAATGAATATATGAATATATTTCAGCATTTAATGCAAGGTTTGAAGCTTTATTTTATTCCCCAGACGTGGCTGATTAACTTGTGCTTATTTCATTTCCAGCACTCCCAGGCTGTCACCCACAGCTCTGCTCTCTTGAGCTGCACTTTGGCTTCTCAGGCTTATTTTTGCTGCAGTTCAGGATAAACAATCCATGAAAATGTTATTCCATTGTCATGGAAGGAATTCTGCTTCCCTCTTTTGGGAAGGGCTGGCAGCAAAGCCTTTCTGATCTATGGAGATGCACCTGTGGAAAGAAACTGCTGAGGCATCACCAGCCTGTAAAACCAAGTTTAGGCATTTCTGTCCACATCCCACCAGCTCTTAAGGAATTTCTGTTTGGTTTTGTTTGTTATTGCAAAAAATGGGTGATCCTGGTTCAGTTCATGGCTAAAAAAGCCCCAGAACCTCAGTTTGTGAGCAGGAATTGATATTTACTGAAAATTCCCGGAGCTGGAAGGACAGAGGATGGGGATTTCACCCAAAAGGTGGCCCTGTGTGTCACTGAGACACGATGACAGGGGCACCTCCCTGCCACAGTCCAGGCCTATTCCTGTTCCCTGGGTAAACACAGGATTCAAATCCTCAGGATTTATGGACCCAGTGCTTTCCCCACCACATTCACCCCAGAGCTGACACACACAGAAAAAGGCAAATGAGTTTTGCATGTTAATCCCTATTAACTGGGCAGAACTGGGAAATTAAAGCCAGCAAAAAAACTTTGGGTGGCTTTGGAAAACACCTTGGGACTTCTGTGCCAGGTTTCTTGATGTTTTAATTGGATGCATGTGTATGTGCTGACAGAAAAGGGGGCTTGGTCCCTCATTAATCTTCACACTCCAGAGGCAACGGGTGGAGAGCAGCCCCCAACCCACGTGGAGCAGCCCTGCTTCGTGCTGCCTCACGGCTTGGGGGGAAAAGCCTTTGAACAACTGGGAAAAGCCAGCTCTATCTCAGGCTCTGCAAGGAACTAATTACTCACCTGGGCTCTCCCCCATCCCAGCTTCTACTCCATAAATCCCCTGAGCAGCAGACATCCACCAGCTTCTCCTCTGAATCAGGGCCTTTATGCTCTCAACTTGCTGGGGGAAGATTCATGGCTCGAGCTGCATTTAAGTATTTTTGTTATGAATAGGAACCCTTAAACATTTCCTTCTCATTTAATTTATCATTTTTTTGGGGGTCTTTCAACACCATGTACAAGCTAGAAATAATGGGAGGCGAAGTCTGTCCCTGAGAAAAGGGACTTAAAATAATAAAGTGTGCCCTGGGAAGGAGAAGGGTGAGGGGAATAAATTGCCCGTTAGCAGCAGGACAATACCAGTAGGACCAATGTCCCCAAATATTGACTTTATTCCATGTTGGAGCGTATTGGGTATGAGGTTTCTACTTGATTTTGGAATATCCTGTAGGATGATACCCAGAATCTACAGCTCAGCCACTCCTTCAAGGTCCTTCTTAATGATTAATAATAAATATCTGGTGATCTACTGACACGTGCATCAGTGGGTTGAGTTTTTGTTGTATGTTTGGGGTTTTTGGGAATTTTTTGGTCTTGTTTGTTTTTTGTGTGTTTTGTTTGTTTCTTTGGGGTTTTGGTTTTGTTTGTTTTTGTTTTTTTGGGGTTTTTTTGCCACATGGACTGAAAAAGTTCAAGCTGTGATTTGAATCAGGGGTTCAAACAAATCAAAAGGAAACATTGACTTCCTCCCACTCAGGTATTCCAACAATAAACCTGAGGAGATTTCACTTGGAAATGGATTGTGGATTTGCTAATACTTTTACTGCGTCCTATTTTACAGCTTGCCACGTCACTTAACATCACAGCAGAACACAAAACCTATATTTAGAGCTTAAAACTGGGCTGTTTGGACTGAGTGCTTTGCTTATGGCATCCTGGATGAACTGAAAAATGGCAAAATCTGAGAAAATGCAGATGATGGATAAAATTTCTGTGCAGAAATCCCTTGGATCGTTCAATGGAGAAGATCTGTGTCTGAAATACAAATCCCGCCCTGTGGCTTCACGTGCACTTGGGTCCATGAGTGAAATTACAGCCTGCTTTCCTCAGCTGCTGAAAACTTCTTTTTAGGGAGAAATTTGGTTCCCTGCCTTTTCAAAAGGAAATTTCATCCACCACCTGATTTTTCCTGGGTTCTGTTTACAGGTGACAGATCTATTTACAAATGTGCAACTCATCACCAGGGCCAGAGTGACCCTGCCCATTAGCAGTGCTGTGTGGAAGGTGTGTTCTGGGGGAGTTTCAGGAGGAAAATGGGCATTTTGCTCGTTTCACCCAGTGACTTTTATAAATCAGTGCCAACACCCAAGGTGTCCTTGGGGGAAGCAGCTCTCACCTTGGTGGTGAGTTTACCTTCCTACCTGGTACCTGGATGGTCTGGCATCTCTTCCAAGCAAAAATGTTGGGAATAAAATACCTGGAGAAAATGAGAACTCCAAACTCATCACCCCCAGGGCTTCTCTGCTTGCCACTGACTGAGGAGAACATTTTTTCCCTTCCTGTTCCAAGCCAGGCAGGGAGGCTGAAGACAGCCTGTGTGGTTTCATCTAATCTGCTCCTGGAACTGCCACCACCATGGTGGATAGCTGGGATTTGGAATGTTAACCACAGAATCAGCCTGAGGAATTTATAATTCACCTCAGCTATGGTGGGATTTGGTACAGTAAGATCATTATTGCCTCGAGATAGCCTTCAGGTCATTAATTTAAATTAGAAATGCCTTCAAACAGGATATTGTGCACAGCTCCTTCCATAGGCTTTAAAGCTTAAATAAACTCCAGAAATCCTTGCTGCCAGATATTCTGTAGGCAAATGTGGGTCACCACTTCCTAACAGTGCAATACCTGCCTATGGTTGTTGAAAGTGGCATTAGAGACATTCTTAATTGTGTTAATTATTATTGTTGTCTTTAAAGGACTGAAGCACCACACAAGATAATCACTTGTCACCATTCTTTGGGGATTTGGCACTGGAGAGGGGGTGGTTTCTTGCGTAACTGGATTCAGGCAAAAATAACTGTGACCTTGTAAATGAGGTGGATGTTTCCTAGGGAAGACAACTCCTGGAGCAGTTGAGGCTGTGGGGGGCAGCTGTAGTTGGAAAAGGAATTTTTAACAACAGGAGACAGCACTGTGAGGTGGGAAAGGCTGAAGGAAGGACTGGGAGGGACCTGGATGTGATGGGTGAATGGAGAGCCAAAAATTACCTAAATATTTGAGGGTGCAGAGATGCTCCAGTGCAGAGAGGGTTGGAGTGGAGGCAGCCTGGAGAGGCAGGGCTTTGGCTCACTCTGGGGATGGAAATACTGGAAATGATCTGCCAAACTGAACTGATACAGGACCAGCTGCAGGGCCTGCAATTTCTGCTCCTTGGTTGGTGTGGATGTGCCACAAGCAGAGCTCAGTGCCTTGGCCTTGAGCTTTGTCCTCAATGCCATAGCAATCTGATTTTAAAAAAGCTCCCCCCAAAACGTAGCACTGAACTCTGCTGCCAGGTTCAGCAGGAAAGACTCAGCAACATTTAAATTAACAGTTCTGTCAGATACAAATTTTGTTCTTAGTGGTTTCAGTCAACTCTTCCAGCCTTTGATTATGATTTCTTTCCCCAGTCTGAATTTCCCTGTTCAGAGCAGGGATTACCTCACATCCAGAGTTTCTGTCTGACCTGTATTTCGGCTGAGCTGTCAGGGCTGCAGGCATTTGGAGAGACCCAGCCTTCGAGCATCCAACCTACTGATTGCAAACGTACCTGTGGAGGTGTTTGCAGTGAGTGTTGGGTGATCACAGCACACACAGAGCTCGGGCAGCTCCCAAACCCTCCCAGGGCTGGGGCAGGAGCCTTCATTCCTCGGAAGCAGAATTGTTGCAGCATTTGTGGCCTTGTTTTAATGATGTTTTTGAGGTTTCCTGGACAAGTTGCTGCTTAGTGATGAAGAAAGGCATTAGCTGTCTGGTCCAGTCTGTTTCCTGGAAAGCTCAGAGTGGAGGCTCATGGCTGGTTATGGATAATATGAAATTGGTTTTTTTCCTCCTCTCTAACCACCCAGAGCTGCCCCAGTCCTTGCTGCTGTCTTCCCACTTCTTGGCTAACTGGGGGAAGAAAAGCTCCCTGGAAGCTTGCCACACTGAAACCCCCCAGCCCTGATTTATTATCACCAAAACCAGCTGCAGATGTTGGCTGGGCCAGGGCTCTGCTGCCAATTAGGGCGTCTCATGCAGAGATTCTTGCTGTGTTTGCCTGGCACTGAGGAGAGCAAGGATGAGGGGAGTGGGGCCACACCATAAAAATGGGAGTTAAAAAAGATGGGAAATGGATTTCACCTGGGCAGGTAGGAGCTTCAGCAGTGTGGGAGGAGGTTGGGCCAGATTTCAGGGATTTCAGCCCATTTCTTGGGTCTTTAATGAACCCTGAAGTTCTACACTGAAACTCACCCAGCCTGTGTGGTTTGGGGGCTTCAAATTTTTCTGGGGTTCACTGTAAGTCTGTCTGAACTTCCCTGCATTGGAAAGAAACTTTGAGTTTTCAGCAGCCCCCAAACTTCAGCTCAGCCCCTCTGTCTGGGGCAGCAGCCCTGGGAGAGTTTGGTTTCTGAAACCATTTGGGAAATGGTGAGAGAAAATGATTTTCAGAGAATTCCTGGATGAAAACAGCACCACTTACAGCTATGGGGAGGGGAGAGGAAGAGATACAAACTTTTCCAGTATTTTAAGGTACAGCCAGCCTTGGGTTAGATATTTCCTCCTGCTGTTAATCCGTTGTTTAAATAAAATTGGTCACAAATCTAGATAAACTTATTCAAAATCAGGGTGATATAAAACATGATTCCTTGAATCACTTTATTCTACTTCTATTATATTTTTGGTCTTTGATCTTTGTGTCAATTTCAGCAATAATTTCCCAATCCTGCATTTCCAGTGTTCCACATGACCTGTTACATCCAAGAGGCTGCCCTAAGTATTATAAACATGATGAATATCACCAGCTTAGATTTTCAACACTCTGTGCAGCATTGCAATTTGACAAAGTTAAATACAGCTGAGAACTGTGGGAATTAAACTGGGGTGGGGGGAATATCTGAGCGCAGAGTGAAATAAATGTGTGAAACTGTGGGAGAGGAAAATCTGAGACAGCCTCATTCACTGGTCTCATTTGAACTTGTGATGGGAGGATGCTCCCATGAATAAAAGCAGTTGTGGTCCTTAGCAGAGAACCCGTAAATAATTTATTTTTCCATAAGTCAGTGTTTTTTAGTGTTGTCTAAAACTCTTGAAATTCAGCAAAAAAAACCCTGGAAGGTGTTCTGCTATTTAC